CTGGTTGATATGAAGTGATTTTAAAATAATCTCAAAATAAGCTTAGGTATAAATAAAATGACTTCATATACCTCAATAAATACCTCACTCTCTTTAGTTGAAATAAGGTATATTTTTTATACCTCGTAAATACCTCATTCTCGTTAGATGAAATAAGGTTGATTTTTTCATACCTCATAAATACCTCTTTTGTTACAAGTGTAAGAAAAACAACCTCGTATACCTTAAAAATCACCTTATCAGTCTGGTTGGTATGAAGTGATTCTAAAACTACCTCAAAATAAGCTTAGGTATAAATAAAATGACTTCATATACCTCAATAAATACCTCACTTTCTTTAGTTGAAACAAGGTAAAAATTTTTATACCTAAAAAATACCTCTGTTGTTACAAGTGTAAGAAAATCAACTTGGTATACCTCAAAAATCATCTTATCAGTCTCGTTGATTTGAAGTGAATTTTAAACAACCTCAAAACAAGCTGAAGTGTATATAAAACAACCTCGTACACCTTAATTACAACCTTTACGAGGTATAATTTTTATTGCTGTTTTCTGTGCAACCTTAAATATACCTCAAATCAACCTTAATACCTCAAAAATACCTCAAATCAAGCTTAAATATACCTTAAATTTTCGTAAGGGCGGAGTTGAACAATGGTGGCAGAATAATCTCCTGCAACTTCCGGGCAGCCGCCCGCGGAAAGCGCAAAAAGAAAGAACATCACAGAAAGGGACCGCCTCGAAAGGTATAACTCGTAGCCACCCCCGGGCAAGCATCTATAGCTTGTAAATTTTGTGAAAGTTGAAACGTAGTTTTAAAAGAAATTTAAGTTTTAACGGTTAAGATTTTTCCCGTTTAAAGTTAGATTTGGCAAGATTTATAAAAGTTTTAATTTCAAAGTGAACATTTTAATCCCCCGCCTCTTCGCAACTACGACTGTAAACAAGGGGGAAAGGAGGTGGGAGTTGTTTTCATTTTCTAATTAGCTACTGCTACCTTGCGTCGCTAATTGTCGAAGAAAAAACTGAACTCAGGGCCAAGGTCTACTGTGTCCATCTCAGTTTTCTTGACCTTTGACTCTGGGGTGCAGGAGCAGATGTTCCGGTGAGGTGGTCAGCCGAACGCGAAACCCCCAGCGTTTAGTTCCCAAGCATGCTTGATGCTCATTTATCGACCCACTAATGGGTAGTTGTAGTTGCAGTTCATTTACGTCGCACTGGAGTTGCACAACGGGCTATTGGCGAAAGTCTGGGAAACATTCCTACGGATGATCCGAAGACATGCCATCACAAGTTTGATCCTCTGCAGAGGGGTTGGCACCCCCGCTTCGGTAGCCCGACGACTTGCACTCGAAGCCGAGCACTTAACGGTAGAACAGTTTAACGAGGTCCCATACCGCCCACCCTCGGTCCCTACGCAGACTGGTCCAAGTCGTCACCCACCCGCACACTGACCGCAACCAGTGACCCACTGAAGGGAGGAAATGTTGAGTCAACCTTTCCCGGCCTAATGATTGAACCCAAGACCTGTGGCACGGGAGCGCTAAGAGCTACCAATCAGCCACCGGGTGTCTTCACTAACTGTCAGCGAATCCTAAAGCCCATGAAGAACTGATTTGTAATATGCTTTTTTCTGAATTCTCTAGTGTTGATTTTAGTTTAATCTGAAGTTTTGTTAATGTGACCTGTTAGAGCAAATATGCGTAGTTCGTAATCTTTTATTTGGATGTAAGTAATCTTTCGTTTTTTCATTTTCTGATTTGCTATGTTTTTATCATAGCTCGTGGCTTTGATTTTCACTTGAAGAATTATTTTTATTTAGTATTTTAATTACATAAGTAATTATGATAGAACTATATAGTATCCTCAATTTAGTAAGGATATATAATTTTTATAGAAGTGTATATTAACTTATATTTATCGATTAGCATGTTTCCTATAATTAATCTTTTACAATTTTAATGTATTAAGGGGACACTGGACGTTCAGAATGAGAAAATCCTTCCTAAATCCCATTATTTGGTTTTTGAGATATTAAAAAAAAGTTCACTTTACTAAGTAATAGGCAACAAACCGTATTTAAATCAGTTTTTTTTAACCGAGTTATAAGATTATGAATTTGTGAAGGTCGATGTATCAATACGTAGTTCCCGTTGACATAGTTGCTTTTTCTCGCGAATGAAATTTTTCAATGTTTGCACAACTTCAAAAACTTCCTTGCTCACCAGTTTTTGTTTTATCGTTATTAAAATTTTTTCAGATACTGTTCGATGTGTTTTGTTTAATCCTAATTGTATTTGATTATCTCATCTTAATTGAATTTTTTAATAATTGAACAAGCATAATGAAGCGTGTTTTTTGAAGAAAATTTTAGTGACAAAATTAAAATTTAATGTCTAGTTACGTTTCTTTATTGTACGATTACCATTACCACTTAAATTTATTTAAATGCCTAAAAAATGTATCTGGGTTAAATTTAATTAAGAAAATGTAAGGAACTTTTTTAATTACCATCAATTAATAACCATATTTTTAGCTATAACTTAAAAACTGATTTTTAAAAAAGAAAAACTTTGCACACATATTTCTATTAATGCAATCAATATTCTGTTATACTACTAAATTTTAAATAAAATTAACTAAATTTGAAAATGATGGAATAAAAGTTGTACTTTTCTATTTTGAACGTCCTGTGTTCCCTTAAAAGATCATCTTCTTTAAACTGTCTTCATTTCAAACTGGGTTTAATTCAATCACAATTTCAATTTATCGTGTTAGAGGATCGTAATTTTTAGAGGATGTATCTTTATTATGCGTTGTCGAAACTTGTGACTGTGCTTATTCTTTGCATATCTTTTGAGTGACTTTTTTGACTGAATTTTATTTTAAAATTTTCTTGACCAGTTTCCCATTATAATGATTCACACTCGTAAGAGCTTGCGTACTGAAATCGGTTTGAAATATTTCTACGACGCAATAAAATTATTTGTAAAAAAAAAAAAATTTACGATCCCAGAATTACTAATATTTCTATTTTTTTTTTATTACTATTCTTTTTTTTTCTTTTATATTTGGGTAAAGATATTCTCAAATGTTAAAATAATTGCTGAAGTTCACATTCACGCTTTTACACTAAAATGTGTTTTCAAATGACGAACATAAATTTACATTCATACAATAAATTACATTCCTAAAATTCTTTTTTTCAAAATATTTTAAAATGTTTTTAGAAACAAAGAATTTCAAGAGAATCGAAACTTAATAGATTTTGAACTTAAAATATTAAAATTTTGTGTTTGAATCTCAAACATTCATTTTTATTTATTAGTCTTTAACTTCCTTTTTTACTCATTAACCTACATTTGTATTCAATAAAATTTATTTTTTATTCACTACAATGGGAAATAAATCTCTTTACTTTTTTTTCAAAATCAGATATATATGCAATTTTCGCATTTCCTGTTCATCATACGCAAGCAGTCACTTTAAAAGTTTGAATTGGCGAGATTATTAAAAGATCATTTAAAACATTTTCTTTTTTTTTCTTCCTGTTGTGACAAATAATGAATTCGAATTTGAGACAGCATTTATATTGTTTTGTTAAGTTTATATTTTGTTATTTATATTTTGTTATTTTTTCCTATGTTTTCCAATAATTGTAAAGAAAATATATGATTTATATCGAAAATTAACATAAAAATTTTATTAAGGCATTTATAAAACTAATTATATTTAAATAAATTTTATAATTAAATTCTCAGTTTTATCCAATTTAGCTTTGCTTAGAGGTTCAATATTTTTCCTTCGTCGTAATTTTTGCGTTTGAAATTTATTTAACTAAGAATATTTGATTCTTTATTTTGCAACTTAATTTTTTTCCCTTATTATGGAACTTCAAGGTTGTACAAGTACGTAACTCATTAAAATTCCAAGTTTGTTCAATATAAATTTTCCTTATCTTAACATATCTCCTATAAAAAAATAAACTTCTAAAATTTTCATTAAAATTTTTTATTTTTTTCACCTGTTATCTTTTACCATCTATATTCTTGTTTTTGATATTTGTTAATATTTTAGGGATGCTAACTTGCTCTGCCTTATAGGCAGACTTTTTGAAGTAGTAGCAAAACTGTTTTCATTTATATTGTTGCTTTAGTAAATTGATTTAAAGTTATCTTAACTTACTCTTTAAAAAAGTTTTTTTTTTTTTTTGCAAGATGCTTCGTATTTTTATCTGCTTCTAGTTTACAGAAAAGCAGAGAGCGATATCTATTTGCGCTTTTACTCATCTTATTTGGTAAGACAGGCTAAGGTGGGCCAAAGCCTTCAGTTGCAGATTCCGCCAGAACGATTTCTTTGATCAGGATTACATGTCTTTTACCCCCATCACTCTAAAATCTGATTCTACATAATCGGGCCATCATTGTTGCGGTCATTTTCTTATGTCTTTACATATATGTAATTTTAATTGTAAAAACCGCTTCCTCTCAAATAAGTTGTATTTTCCCTCACATAATTAAGTTTGGAAATCGTAGGTCGTCAGAGGAAGGCATTGGCTCACATTGGGCTGTCTGGCCAACCATGATGATGATGAATTTGATTTTGGCTTAATCGCATATTGAATAATCACTGATATCTTATGTTTCAATAGTAAATAAGTATTTGTATTTTTTATGGATCTTTAATTTAGGGTATACCTAGCCCAGAAATACCATATGGGTGTTTTCAAATTGGGCCCACTTGAAAAAACTCATCTTTATACCCACCAAATGGGATTTTTCTCATCAATCTGGAATGAATGAAGGAATTTTCAAACAATGTTTTTCGCAGTTATCAAACTGAATTTTTCTTTGTAATTATCTACTTGATAGTTTATAAATTTAACTTTAACTTTTTATACAAAACTATATGAAATAAAACATAATTCATTAATCTGGTTTTTAATTAATCATGAATAATACATTAATTTCATTTAAGAAACTAAATACGTAAAGAAGTACAAGATTAAAATTTTTGCTAAACATATTACTTATCTATAAAACTAATTCTGTGCAATATATGCAGCATAGTTACCGATAGTATTCTACTTATAGCATATAATTTATTTGGATTGTTAACTCCAGAGAGGCAGATAATGTCTGATCTCGCTAACATAATTCGGAAGAAATTCAGACAGCAATTAAGGAAATTTTTAGATTAGTTCAAAATATTGCCGCAAAATTGTTTATTGTAAAAGATATGTAAAAAAATGTGTGGTTTTACAAATAATGATTATAAAATATTACTATTTCAATAAACTTTAATTGATAGTATTCTCACATAGGCTAAATCAGGAGTTTTTCAAAATAGAATAATTTTTTTCTTAATAACGAGAAATTTTAACAAAATGCTGGCTTTACTTTCTAAAAATATTTTGAAAAGGTTTTTGCAAGATATATAAAAAAAAAACAACTTCTGTCCGAAGTTTGTTAGATATTAGGTTCTTAAAGCTAACACAATAGACCGAAGAAAAGGATTCCTTTTTTTTCGCTGACCCCATACCCCTACTTGAAATAATTATATCTCGTTGCCATAGTTACCGCAACGGGTCTAAGCAAATGGCATGGGGAGTTTTTACTTTAGACAAACTATAAACCCTTCAGGGTTTGTTTGAACACATCAACGGATATATATTGCATATATTCAATATTTCGGGATTAATACGATATTTCTAAACAGTGTGGAAATTATTCTGATTAAAAAAAAATGTAATGAATATTTTAAAAGAATAGACAAAATTTCCCCCATTTTTAAAGATTTCTTTTATAGACTACTTGTTCCCCTCTGCTGCAGTTTTCTCCCTAAGCGTTTTCTGTGGGGTGGCCCAGACTGCTTGCCCTTTGCTCAATAAATTCCCTCAATAAATGTCCCCTCTTTGCGCCTTTCGTAACAATAAGCCGCTATCCCTTAAAAACAGTGCCTTTTTATTCATATTCAGTTTGGAAAAAAATTTATTTGCTTGTTTAAATAATAATTACATACTAAAATTATTTGTGATTTTAGGTTTAATTTTAATTACAATTGCATATATTTACTTCGTTAGGATTATTGAAGTTACGTCTCAACTGGTTGAATTTTAATAAGTATTTTTTTTTTGGGGGGGGGGGGGGGGGGGGGTTAGAGNGGGGGTGATGCATATTAATTTTTTAAACGGTTTTAAAACTATTTTTTAAATGCTTTTTCTTTAAAAAAATGCACCTCACTTATTTTCTCACAATTTTCATTTTAAATTTTAAAAAAATGCTTTCAAGTTTATCGATTAATCATTTTTTGTTAGTTTTACTTTTTTTGATTACTTTTTTGGGGATTGTCTTTTAGCCGACCTTTAATTATTTTTTAAACTAAACATTTTTCACTTATTTTGATAATGAGAGAGAATTACTTTTTGGAAATTTACACATAAAATAGTATATGAATGTAATTTAGAAATAGTTGAGGATAAACTTCAGTTATTACATAATATTACAGATTGTGGTAAACTGTGTTAAGTGAGTGCGCTTTTAAAACTCTAATTGCACCTTTTATTATTAGAGAGCTGTTTTTGTCACTAATAATACATTTTTGTCTTAATACATATTTTACTAAATACATTTTTACCTAGTACATTTTTACCAAAATTATGTTTATGCCAGACCTTGTCAAACAACGCCCAGTCAAATCTTTAAGAACTTCAGAACTATTTGTGCTATTAAAAACTATTATAACTACTATTTTAACTCTTGAAACTCGAAGGTATTAATTTAGCCGCTGATACTAAAACTCGTTTACAAATTTTAATTATTCCGTTAGGCAGAAATGTTCGAAAAATGGTTTTATCGCATGACTTCAACATTAGCCATTGTTACAAATAAAACTGTAGACTGTTCTGTTTCAACTTATACTGCACATTCAATTATTTTTTACTAGCTCAAAGATCACTATCTGAAACCCCGTGTTTGCTTTGTTTATGTTTGTGATTTTAAAACTCGTTTCTATAGAGTAAAACAATCTTAAATCAATGGTAATTTAAATAAATAAAAATAATAAACTAAGAATTAAAACCAATAGATTAAATGTCTTTTTCGTGCCAATCCATAAAAAGTTTGATATTAAAATTATATTTGATTTTAAAATTATATTATACGATTATATTATAAAATTATATTATAATATTCTTCTGAATTTAAAAATAAATTAATGTCCATAACTTTCAAAATTAAAAATAATTAAATAAGTAACAACAATTTTGCAAAAACATTAAGGAACATAAGAATATTATTCAATAAAATTTTAGGTTACTTTGAATTTTCGATTTCCTAGAAATGTACTTTTAAATCGTTACTTTTTTTGTTTAGGACTTGTACTTTTACTTGTATTTTTTACTCGTTACTTTTTAGAATAAGAACTTTTTACTCGTTACTTTTTTAAAAATACTTGTACTTTTACTCGTTACTTTTTAAAAGTAACGTTGGCATATATGCTCGTAACTGGGGTACCATATTTTGTTTATCTTAACTTTTGGCTCATATTTTATTTTACCATATGATGCTATTAAGTTAGTTTCTCAACGATGTTCGTAAAGGAAGGAAAAGGAAATCACAGACGCTGTAGAATATTGGTTGATTTTGATTTAATTTTGTACATTTTGAAGACTTTATTCAGCTGCAAATAACTGAACACATCATTGATGAGTTCTGAACACATCATTTCCACATCAGTGAAGTAGCATAGTATAAAAAGGATTATCAACTCTACCTCATAATATAAAATGATATTAAGATATAAATGAATTTCATGTTGCATCTCTAAAAGGATTAGGAGGTAAAAGTGGGATCTTAAATACTATCTCATATTTGTACGATTTTCTTACGTTGAATCGAGTGACTAATGTAATAGAAGTTATTTATGTTTTATGTATAAAAGTATAATTTATTTATACATATTTACTATCTAACATTGCTAGATAGGCAATTGAGGTATTATTTATGTATACGCTACATCGAATGAGAATAAAACCATGCTGTCTCATTTAATAGTTTAGCAATTCAAAAATTTGTAAAAGTTTCGTGTGCAGAAAGTACTATTTTATGACTTATACCACTTTATGCAACTGACATTGCTATCTAAACAAGTAAGGCATTTCTTCAAATTTAATTTCCTACGCTTAATTCAATAAAATAGTCCTTTGAAATAATTCTTTAAAAGAATTGATAGTTTAAAGTATGAAATATAAAAAAATTTTTTCACCCTTTACTCATAAAATATTTATAACATCAAAACTATTAGATCTATCAAATTAATTCTACTTTTTTTTAAAAATTTAGTCTAAAAAATGCATAATAAATAATGTCAGACTTGTCTATACTACAAAGTCTCAGAATTTTATTGTCATAAAATTAATTTACATTGCATTAAGGGCTCATCACTTTTCATCTGCGCATTGTATATCAGGAATATCACTTATGAAAATTATTTTTTTCCTAATTCTTTGTAAAATTGTTTTTTAAATATAAGAGGATTTTCAATGTCATGCTTACAATTTGTTATTGTAAAATTTAAAGCATTCATTATTGGTATAAGATAATTTAATTAGAAATGATAGGATTTATTTTAGGACAAATTTATTGTAATATACAATATATAAATTCAAATTTATTAATAACTAAGAAAAAACAATATTTTATGACTAGCATACTTTTTATGTACCCTATTATTTTTTATAGCCTTTTACGTGTTTTGTTTTGCATTTTAAATAATACAAGGATCAATTTAAAAAACAACACATTTAATATCAAGTGAAACATTTAGAACAGGGGTGTCAAACTCGCCGCCCGAGATGAACATTTTTACGGCCCTGTCAATATGTCCGACGCAAAGTAAAAATAAAATAGAAATGTTAATTAGAATAGAAACTAGCATATAAAATTATAATATACTTTATTTATAAACTATACGGATCATTTTAAATTGCATGCGCGAAAATGTAAAATTCTAATTGGCTTGCGGCACCTGCCATTCCAGGGAAACTGCATCGTATCAAAAATACGCAGAAAAAATTTCTAATCTTAGAACAGAATTTGAAACAAGGTTTAAAGATTTTATTTCTTTGCAAGACAAATTTTGTTTGTTTTCTTCGATTTTCTCAATAAATATAGACTTAGTACCCAGTAATATGCAAATGGAAGTGATTGAGATTCAGTGCGACTCAAATTTGAAGGCAAAATTCATTGAAGTGGGTGTGCCTGAATTTTACAAATATTTACCTGCTAGGTTTGAAAATACTCGAAAATTCGCATATAAAATTATTTCCTTGTTTGGAAGTACTTATCAGTGCGAGTAATTATTTTTTGTTGTGAATGGAAATAAATCTCCTGTCCAAAACCGTATTAATAACGCTCACGCTGGATCAATTTTGAAAGTCTCAGCCAATAAAATTTCTCCCAAAATGGGAAAGATAGTAGCAGAGAAGAGATGTCAAATATCAAACAATAATTTTACTTTATATATGTTTATTACAATGTACTATTGAAAATAAAAATATTTGTTTCTATGAACACTGATATTTTTTTTTGTTGCTTCCCACCTGAAGTTAAGCATTGTTTATTTGGCCCAAGTTAGCTTTTGAGTTTGACACCCCTGATTTAGAACATGATTCATTTACATGCGGGGTGCCATCCCCTCTGCAGAGGATTAAAATTGTGATGGCATGTCTTCGAATCATCCTCAGGGATGTTTCCCAGACCGTAGTAAGCAGCCCATTGTGCAGATCTACTGCGACTTAAATGAACAGCATCATTTACATTTCTTTATTTTTTTATTTCATTCATAAAACAATATTACATCTCTTTCCTTCTCCAGGCAAACCTTACAGGATTATGCAAAATATCTGAAATAAAAGAAAAAAAAATCACTGTCATGATAAATTTTACCAACACATTATTAAAATAAGGAAGATTAAATACCATTAATTTGAAACCATTTAAGTCTTCAGGTATCCCTTTTAAACTTATTTTAAGTCTGGCAGAGTATACACTAATGAAAGACGTCAGGTATATTTGGTTTTGTAGTTTTTATGCTTGGACTGAAATTTGTTTTAAGAAAATAAATTTTATTTATAAAGGAAGACAATTAAAAATGTAAGCATATTGAAAAATTAAGATAAACTTACATACTTACTACCGTTGTAAAAAAGTAAAGTATCAAAAGATAAATGCAAAGTATAAATAAGAAGTAAAGTATCAATAGTTAACTTTGAATAATAATGAACAAAATATTTTGCAAATCATCAAACACTAAACAAAAAGAAGGGATGAATGTAGAAACAGATAAAGGGATTGGGAATTTGCATTTTTAATATTTACTTCTTATATATGATGTTACTACCTTTTTTTAATACTTTTCAATAATTACCGAAAAATGGGATTACTTTGTGAGAGACAAGATAAATATTTGCCACACATAATTTCTAACTTGTTTTAAAATAAGCTTTTCAGAAATTAAAAGAATTCTTAGGGAGGAATAAAATAATTATTTCGCAGATAATAATAATAATAATAAGGAAAATAATTTTTTTCTCCAATTAATCGCATACATGTTTATACAATCGACAGAACTAAAATTTAAAAATAAATACAATCATTATATTTTATGTTATCATAATGCAACAAAGTTTGGCTAGTTGCTTGGCTAATATTTCAAAGTAAATCTATTCGCCAGTATAAATCTTTACATATATAAAAATAGAAATTTTTTCTATCTAAAGTAATTGAAATTTTGATCGGAACAAATTATAATGAGTTTTAATTTTATTAGTTTAAAACAAAGAAATGTTCTAAGAGAAAATTTATCTAGAAAATAGTTTACTGAACTCACCGCTACTAAAATGATAGGCAGGTTCCTGTTTGGGTCGTACATCAACTGCATTAAGATGGTCATCTCATCGTGTGAAAGTATTTTTAATGCTTTAATTATAAAGGAAATGTTATTATTAAACTAAAAAACTGTTCTGTTTCATCTATTAAAAATTTCATCCGATCATCCTCTTCATCAACGTTGCCGCCATTTTTATTTACATTTGTATACGTCATCACATAAAATTGAAACGCCATAAAAAGCAAACCATCTTTTAGGTTCAAGTGTGGATGGAGAGAAAAATTGCCCAAACAGTTGCTGATATTTTGGGCAACCGTGATTTCTATATCACACGAGGATTATTCGAGCAATTTCTGAAGAAATTGCCTTTAGAGTTGCGGATAGAGTTGAGGTTACACTTAGGGTTGCTTTTATTTTCTCTCGTGTGATAGAGGCATAAATTTAGCTTTGAATGTATAAATTTGAAAGAAGATATGTGTTTCTACATTTTTCGCTGTTACAAGGCTCTTTTTAGATTTAATATAATGTTATTTTTTAATGAGGTACCGAATTAACAAGTGACACTTATTTATATTTATTGTCGTATCCATAATGACCTTTATTGAGCCTTAATCTTTTTAAGAAAGAGAAATAATATCTTCGTTTAATATTTTTTCTTTACATTTAAGCTAAATTTACTTTCATTTAATATTTAAAACTTAATTTCAACTTCATGAAAAAACTGGTTACCTTAAAATTTCAAATTAATAGCAAGCAAAAGATTGATCTATATTTGTTAACAAAAATTTTAATTAATTGTTAAGTACATATTTATTTTTTTAGGTCATTAACACTTGAAGGAGTCAATTGTGCCTTGCTTGTCGTCACTTCTTGATTTCCGGGGCAACTTTATTCCATCCTAATTGAAGAAGAGAAATTTCTTCAACAGTTAAAATATGTGTAAAAAAAGAAAACGTAATTCTCATCGTCCAGCTAAAAGCAAAGAAGTTAGCAGCTCTGCGTCTAAGAGTGGTTCACTGGGCGGAGGTAGTAATGAAGCATCTGGACAGTCAAAAAAAATTGATCACCAAACTGTCAAGGAACTAGCTAGACTGGCTAGCACTTCCACTTGTGACTTTGCTCAGGAAACCGAGGTATTGAAACAAAGTACTGCAGCAGGGAACACTAATAATCAGTCAATTGCATCGTCCTCCACTTCTCCTGCAATTTCAAATGATGAAATCGTTGATGAATCAAACTCAAATGCTAAAACATTGTCTAATGTTTGTTTGAGTGTTCCACAAAAAACAAATTCCCAGTATAATTGTGTTCCAGATACTATTCGTCATTCCGAAAGTAATGAATGCATCGACAATGTCGTATCCTGTCAAGATAGTAAGGAACTTTCTATCAACGATGTACCTCCAAACCTTGAAGCAAATATTCGTCAATCAACTTCTAATTTTTCCAATCTTTTTAAGCAATTTCATCGACATGTTGTAAAAAAGGATAACTCTTCCTCAACTATAACATGCAACTTAGAGCAATCGGCACCGAGTTGCAACATGAATGCGACAAAGGATGGTAAAAATCCCAGAGCTATAGTTTCGCCTGACACAATCACAAAATATAAGGAAACCAAGACTTTCAGAAAATATGCATCACATAATGAATCAGTCAGCGCTGATGGTAAGGAATATATAAAAGAAGTTCCGAATAGCACTGGATTTGCATACCTGTGTGAATTTATCCTCAGGAGAGCAAATCCACAGTACAAACTGAATATATGTAATTTGGGGGATGAATGTATATTGGTAGCAAATAATGACAAATTTATTGCTAGAGTTGAAATGTCGGCTAACTTACAGTTGAGTAAATCTTTCGAAGATGACAAACTGGAGTTTTTGAAACATGTTATTATTACTAAAGTGTTAGAAGATGAATTAATGCTTAAGAGAAACGATGCCTACAGTAAATTTCTTCAATTGTTAGAGAGAAGGAGTGCCAATATTTCTAATAGTATTGAATGCACAGATGATTTTCTACAGCTCTTATTAATGACCAAACATTGCACATTAGCCATGAATAAACCTTTAATGTTCTTGAAAGGAATTCTTCAAAATGAACACATCTCTCAAGTAATAAAGAATAATGCTAAGTGCTTCGAGAGAATTGAAAATAAACTCTACTTTCGAAATGAACATTTTCCGAAGTTCAGTAGTGTTGCTAACCCACGCATGAAAGATTTGTTGGCTCCAATTCGAAATATTTGCGAATCTGGAATATACAATCATGAGCAAAACTTAATTAAAAGCTGCCCTACAAAAAATTCGTATCTTTTATGCCATATTCTTTCAATAAGAGATTTGCCCAAAGACAAAGTACTGTTTATAAACAAAGGAGACATTGAATTATTTTCTAATGCAGTTGCTGTTGCTCATGAAGAGAAAAATTTTGTGAACCAAGTAATTCCTCTAGAGTTTATAAAATATTTGTGGAATAAATTTTATTCGAAAGTTCAAATGTTGAATCATAATTCAGTGAAAGAAATCGGACCTTTGACGCATCACGTGTACTACTACCTTTTAAAAAGTTTCCGAGACATTGCATGTGAAATAGCTTCTAAAACAAATATAAAACCTCAGGAGCTACTCGTAGAAGAAAACGGAAATTTCAGAATTATAACTTCCATTCCCTGGTCTAACAAGTCAACTGTTCATAAGTCCTTAGAGAAACAATATGAGTTATATTTTCAATTGTTGGAGCACTTCGAACCTGGTTCATATTCAAGTAAAATCAAATTCAAATATTCGTTTAAGATTCTAGATGGTGATAGGAGCTTAATTAAGTCTTTAAAAGAATTTCTTTTGGGGACAGAAAATAGTTTTCCACACATTCCTGAGGATCGCCTTGTGTGGTTGTATATTGTAGACTGTGGCACAGCTCCTTTATTGTGTGATAAGTCTAGCAACCATTTTAAAGAGCTATCATTGCATGTTCTCAAAGGCTTTATTAAATTCATTGAGCAAGCTAAACAAGACCGTTATGAATCTTTTCGAATTGCTACCCTTAATATAATCAAATTCATCATGCAATTATCTCCATATTTTAATGATGTCGGTTCGATTTTAACTGACGCGGACCATAATATTTTAGATAAACAAATGGAAATTATTAATTGCATTCTCAATTCAAATGAAACAAATGTTTTATCTGATTATTTTTCTGGCTTAATGGATGTATATAATGAATATTGGAAGTTGAGAGAAATGATATTAGAAAATCTACCAGTTCCTTGCAGCATATTTAAAGATGACGTGGAAGTAATTCTAGGAAAGATACTAAAACTGGTTGAAAGTGGTTTGTCAAAATGTACTGAAGCTAAACTAGTGATCCGTTTCTTCAGATTTTATAATGAGTTTTTAAAACACATAAGAAGTATAGATTTTTCATGGCTGATATCAAAAGCATGTTATACGGATGATTTAAATAAAGTTTTGGAATGTGTAATCAAAAATGATGTCACATCATACGTTGTAAAGGACCCTGAGAGCTTCGTTCAAATTCTTGAAAGGAAAAAACTGGAAATCCCTCGGCATTTTCTAATCGAAACCATTAATAAATTATTAGATATCATAGATTTAGTTTACGAAAAGTTGTATTGGAGTAACGAAGATTATTTAAATGCGATTGGTGATCTATTTCTCGCTATTGGACATTCTTTTACTCATTTCGAGGATCAAGTTGATTATAATGATTTAGAGCATTTTTTGAGAGATTGCACAGCTCCTTATAACAATGTAGTAACAAATAGTGATACCTATGAAGATTTTAAGAAACGCTTAGATAACGTCGAAAACTTCTTCCTCTATGCTCGAAAGCAAAACCAAATCGGAATTGAACGTGCTCTGCATTTGTGTGAAATAGAAGTCAAGAGGGCTAAAGAGAGTGGATTTAACACTAGTATCAATAGAAGCATTTTAGAAAATTGTTATAATGTGTATAGTGAAAAACTTGGATCTTTAGAACAGTTAGATATACCCGAAATCCTTGAAGAAATAAAGAAAGATATTGAGAAACAGGAATGTCTTCCTTTAGAACAGTGGACTCCGTCTTTCAAACAGACTGTAATACCAGTTTTACTTGCTGGGGTGGCTGCAGTTTGGACTATTCTCGAATCTAAGGATGTTGCTAATATTATGAAAAGAATCGAGCCACATTGCGTCCAAATTCTGTGCATTTTGAGACTTTTAGGTGTGGATTATCTGGAAAAAGGCGTACCAAAACATTTTGCTCAAGTATTAACTGGTCAAGGCAAATCAGTTATTTTCGGTCTACTTTCTGTCATAATTGCATTGACAGGCAACAAAGCGAGTGTAGTGTGTTACAGCGAATATCTGGCACAACGTGATGAAATGGCTTTTAGTGATTTTTTTGAATCCTTTTCAAAATTTGAAGTAGGAGATGAAATAAATTATCAAACATTTTACGACTTAGTTTTTGATTCCCTCAAACTTAAAGCTAATGACTCTGAGAAAAATATGTCCTCTGTAGTGCAAGATTTAGTATTAAATGAATTTCATCCAAAAACTCTTGAATTTTCTGAACAGAGCTGGACATCCGTTCTTTTAATTGATGAAGTTGATGTTTTCTTTTCGGATAACTTTTACGGGAATACTTTAAATCTTTGTGTTAATATAAATATGCCCGCATTGCTAGAAATACAACCTAAATTGTGGGAAATAGTGGAAGGAGGTTTGTACGAGAAGACCATTGTTATGGAAAAAATGAGAGATTTTATAATCGAACTCTTGAAGGAAGAAAAGTACGAAAAGTTAAAAAATTTTATAACAAATTCAAATTCTTTGTTTGAGCAAAATTTAGAAAAAATGATTTCTGATGCAATAAGTGTTTCACAACATAAAAATGAAAGTGTTTGGTTTATTGAACGCTACAAAATAGATTTTAACGGTCTTTTAAAGTTCAGAGACAACCTTGGGATTTATAGATCCACTTTCCATGGTTATTATAATGTATTCAATTATTTTAGGTTGAAAAAAGAAAATTTTGATGATAAATACTATCAAAACTATGGCTATATACAGATCGGTTATGGATCGATATCTTATGCTAATGTACCCTCGAGATATCAGAATATTTTAGGAGTGAGTGGTACTCTCATGACATTGGATGAATCAGAAAAAAATGCTATTAAAAATTATGGAATAAAAACCATGTCTGCGATGCCATCTTTTTTCGGGGAGCGTAAACTCGTTTTCACTCCTATTAGCCATTTCACCATTCAAGCTACAGAAAGCAACTGGCATTCGAAAATATTCGAACATATTTCCCAAAACATTAAACTTAATCGAGCTATTCTTGTCTTCTTCGATACTGACGCAGAAATAAAAGGATTTGAAGAAATATATCGAAGTAATATTAATCGTTTGTATGTTTTGATTGGGAATGAAGAACCGTCGGTTGTGGAATGGCGCATCAACGAATCTGGCGTTTCACAAACAGTGACTTTGGCCACTAGGGCTATGGGTCGAGGTATAGACTACAAGTCTAACGATCGTAGCGTAGAAGAGAATGGAGGTGTGCATGTTATTCAAACATTCTTTTCTTTGGATGAAAAAGAAGAGACGCAAATCAAAGGAAGAACTGCCCGAAAAGACAATAAAGGCAGTTATGAACTGATCTTGTGCAGAGAACACCTGAAAGAAATTAGGTGCTCTGAAACAGCAAGTGGTTGTCTCATCAACACATACGAAGAAATTTGCGTTGCTAGAAATGAAATTGCTAATAAAAGAGGAAAATTAATTGCTGAAAATATTAAAAAAGCGGAAGAAAAACACAAATTAACATATAAATTTTTTGAATCCCTCGTTGAGTATACTCCTGAAAAACGTATGGAATATTTGTCTAAATATCCATTTATCAAAGAGAAGTAATACTTGAAAACTAACAGTTTTTGAGGGGCAATGCCTTCTCATATTTAAAGATTTGAGATTAATGGTGTATATTTGATTGTACTAATCTGAAAATCTTTTTGAAGTTGCTCTGAAAATTTTTTTTAAAAATTTTTTTTACTTTGGGTCATTAAATTTATTTGCAAAAATTTAACTAATTGTGTTAATTTGATTACATTAATTCATTTTAAAAATTGATTTTAAGCAATGCGATTATTTCTTTCTTTTTTTTTTCAAAATTACATTTCGAAAAACGATTGGATTTTTATATGATCTTTTTTTTTTCAAGGTAAAATTTTTTGATACACCAGATCTTATTTTAGAGATCTTAAACCTTATTTTGCAGATCTTATTTTACAGATCTTAAAACAAGACTAAAAAAAGTTTCCAACTTTTTATTTTAACTTATTCAAAAATTGTCCTCCTTTGAAGTCCTTTTAAAAGTAATAAGAAAATGAATTTCGTAATACGGTGCATTTTAGAACATTTTGGTCACATCAATATTTTTATAATTATACATGACCTATGATAACTAAACATTTTAAAATTCTATATTTATGTTTTATTTTAAGAAATACAGAATAATTTGAAATGAAATTTTTTTTAAAAGAGTATTTAATACTTTTGGTTCTATTCAAACTAAGACTATGCATGTAAATAATAAAAAATTGAACTTTTAAAAATATTTTTACTAAAGAAAAAACATGCTTTGTTTATTTAAAACAAAACATTTGATTAAAACCAGCCAATTCTGGTCCAAGGTACAGTCTTTTTTATTTTTTAAATGACATTCTTAGTCTTTTTTTTGTCGAAATGCATAAGTTTAAAAACGAACTTCAAGAGGAACTAGGGCAAATCATCAGGATTAAAATTGCAAAGGGATGTCTGGAAATATCGCTAAAGACTCTTCCCTATTATGAACTGTTTTTTCGTGTGTATAACCTGTTTAGGTAGGGCGTTCCCCTACGTTGCGCACAAGGAAATTCCTGGGCATGGATCCCTATGTAATTTTAATCCTGATGATGCGCCCTAATTCCTATTTAAGTTTGTTGTAACATTTATACCACCCCCTGTAGGTCAAACGGTTTCATTTCGACTACTAAATAAACTAAAAATTCAATTTTGAAAAACTGTAGCTTTTGAAGCAAACCTAATTTCATATTTCAAATTCAAGTGTTTGCATGAATGCCACAAAAAAATGTTTTTATCAATGTTCATTATTTAATTTGTAAATGCTTTTTTCTATTAAAATGTGAATCTGAAATATAGTAAAATGTCTTATTTTTTCAACTATGTATTTTTATAATTAAATTTTTCATCTTTGAATTGAAACTATCACAATATTTCGTCTCATATTTTATCTTTAGAAATGAATCTTTTAAAATAATATCTTTAGAAAACAAATCTGAATTCTTAAAATTTTACTTAATTATAGTAATTTTTTATATTTAACATTGTCTATATTTAAAATTAAATCTTCGTATTTTGTATAAATTCATATTTTTATTTAGCTGTCTAATATGTTATTGGATCTTTACCAAAATAGTATTTTAAGATTTTTAATTAACACATAGAAAAATTTGATTTGTGTAATCTTGTCTATTTTATTCTGATTAAAAAATTGCAGTGTTACGTTTTAATTAGAAAAAGTTCTATAAAAATGCATATCTAATACCGCTAAAATTTTTTCATTGTTTGCTCGAGCTTTGTTTTATTTAAATTAAAGTGCAAGAATTTCTTTTGTATCACTTGCCGTACACAAAACTTAGTTTTGCACGATAGTAAGAAAGATTTTATTTATACTAGTATTATGGTACACTAGTTCTTCTACTTCAAACTTGACTATCCCGTAGACGATGTTGTCAAGTGCTTAGATATTATGTCTTGCTTTTCTGTGAATTTTGTACGGTTATATTAAATTTAAAATTTTAAGCGAATGAGGAACATGTTTGTGTTGTTCAATCATTATAATAGAAGTAAAACATTATAAATCTAGTTGCAGTTCTCACTTTCTAAATTTCACCAAATCTAACAAATTAGTTTTTTTTTTTAATCAGAATTGTTACATTAATATTTAGAAAAGCATTATCTTGTTTAGATGGCAATGCAAAGCATTCTTTGATTATTTAATAATTGTTATCTATTCTAATTAAACAAAACATTTTATATTACTATTAAATTCAGATGTCATATCTTTCTTTGATTTCGCTTTTTATAAGTTTCTATCTGTAAAAGAGTTATTGTCATTCATATTACAAGTCATACTGCCAATCAAACTATTTTGTACCTTACCGAACATCTATCGAATGTTTGTAAATCAAACATGTATGAATAAAATTTCTAAATTTTGATGTTTTTCGTTAATTTATTTCTTTTTATTCATTGGTCCTCATACCCTCATATTTTTATTACATAAATATTCCAGCAATTATACAGCTGTTATAGTAATATTTTATAAAATGTTAGTACAATAATACTTAAAGCATTATGAATTTCTCAAAAAATAAATTTACTATTTTCCTGCGATAAAAAAAAAACATAATTGCTGAAATGTATCCGATATACATATATTTGAATAGCTGACTTTTCCTAAGATTTAACTTTAAAAATTCAGACCTGTGCTTTGAAACATAATGTTGCTGTCAATAAGAAACCTTTTTCACAACGGTAGTATAAGTCGGCACATCCCTTACGAATATTTAAGGTATATTTGAGGTTGAGAAAACAACCATAAAAATTATACCTCGTAAAGGTTGTATTTAAGGTCTACGAGGTTCTTTTGCATACACTTCAGCTCATTTTCAGATTGTTTAAAATTCACTTCAAATCAACCAGGCTGATGAGGTGATTTTCAAGGTATACAGGTTGTTTTTCGGATACTTATAACAAAAAGGTATTTATGGAGTATGAAAGTTTTTATCTAATTTCAACTAAAGAGAGTGAGGTTGAGGTGTAGGAAGTAATTTTATTTACACTTAAGCTTATTTTGAGGTTGTTTTAAATTCACTTCATATTAACTTTGTTTTTTGATATAACAGATTTAATTTTTAATTTTTTTTACAGGAATTGTATTTGCGAAGAAATAAAAATATTTTATTAATGAACCAATCACAAAAAAGAACGTAACATTTTAATACCCTGTTTTATTGGAACGCTATTTTGAAGAATTAATTCTATTAAACTTTTATTGTAAGAAAACATAACCTGTTTTATTTTAGTTATATTTTCTATTAAATCAATCTTTATAAAATAAAGATTAATGAATAAGAATAATGAAATTAAAGAATAATGTAAACTTTTTCATGAAGATTTTATTTTAGAAATTAACAAGGACATATTATTTACTAGAAAACAATAAGAGTATTCAAAAATTTTATCACGCTTCAAAGTTATAATTTCTTGTAAATGTAACAGTTGATATTTTTAAAATTTGAAAGTAATTGGAAATTCGCTAGTGCCATAAGAAATATGTGTGCAATGGATTTCAAGAGGAAAAAAAAGTACAAATGAAGGGATTTTTCTTTAATGACCTATGTCACTAGTTTTAAACTCTAAATGATATTTATTCATATTAAATTTAATCTGAATCTATCAAAATATCTGATTTCACTTAAATGATATCTAATTTTATCTGATTTGATGAGAATTGATTAAAAGTAAATTAAGAAAACAATTGTAAGTTATTATGTGAGTTTTGACCGTGTTTTTTATTTTGTAAGTTCAGACTAAAGACCTAGAGTTTACCTGAGTCTTGAAACAAGTTTGAGTGAAACTATATAAAAAACTAAGTTTTAAAGCTTTTGCTTCATTTCTAGAAGCATTTATTGTAAAAAAAATATTTATTGAATTACTTTTTCTTACCCTTTCTTTATCGATAGTTACAGGATTCCAACTTTTACAAGAAAATTCTTCGTGCAGGCTTATACAATTACCATAATTATCTCGTAGTAAACATGGCAAGTCTGCTGCTGCGTAACAATTCGCTCGACCATGCCCTAGTATATGCTTAATAATGGCAATACCTCCCTGCCCTTCGAGTTGTAACGAGTTGAGATCTCTTAAACTGCGTGAAAAATTGATTCAATTCCTTAATGTATATAAAAGTTCGTAAATACTTCATTTATTATGGAGGTCATAGATACCTTGATACTCTTTCAATATTAGAATAATAAATGCAATTAATGGATAATACACAATTTTAAAAATATACTTTATTTACATATATTGCGTACAGGTTATTCTGTAACGATCACACTTAACTTATATTTATAGATTCCTAAATACTGTTAAATGACTTGAGTAATAAAAAAACCTAATAAAAAATAACATAATTAAAAAAATAAAATATAGTGATGTATAATGAAAATTTACTAATGCGATGTTGATTTTTTCGCACATTTTCAACGAAATTTCTTTTTTTCATTGAATGTTTCTCATGAACTGGTGGACGTCCAGTGGGTATCCTCTTGTTGTGCCCCTGGTAACTCCAACTCTTCTTCGGCTTTTTGAAGAAGGTTGGACCCTAATTTTTCCTCTGGAGGTTTTATAAATGCAGGCATCAGCTGTACATTGAAAGGATTCCGATGCACTCTGAGTTTTAACTCCATCAATTCTTTTATTGATCCTGCTTAAAATTGTTCTTGACGTGCCAAATTACGACATCTTCGTTAAGCCTGAAATATTAAAATAATTGTCCAAGAATTTCTAATGTTAAATACCTTTAGAATTTACAGTAAATTATTAAAATCAGACAAACGAGTAAATAATCTTAATATTGTTTGTTTCAAATTTCAAATAAATTATAAAAATAGCCAGAGATATTGAAAAAAAAAGTAATCACTTTCTTCTTGAAATATTTATAAAAGAAATTCGAAATATTTTAAATTTGCTATCATAGAAATATTAATCATAATATTTGCTCTCATCGAAACAGTGTCGTCACAAAATGTATTATTAAAAAGAAAACGAAAATAATATGAATACCTTCTTAAAGCTCACTGTAAGTTTAATGATCAGATAGTTATAGTTTAAATGATTAGATAAAAACGCATGTTGGAAACAAATACGCATGATCATATAGGTTATCAGAAATTTAAAAAAACTACTGTCTTTAACTGTCATATGCAATTTTAAACCTAAATATTCTTATTTTTTATTCATCCAAACGGCATTTCAATCTCGAAAATTTTTAATTTTACAAGTTAGGTGAAAAGTAAATATCTTACAAAACACCGAATCGAAGAAATTCTAAATTAAATCAACATTAAAACATTGAGTGAAAAAAGTTTTCAATTTACTTAAAAGTTCATGAGATATGGTGAAATACGCAAAAAGTTAAATTAATATTAAGGGATCCCAACAAGGGCGCCGGTGGCGGGGTGCATTTGCACCCCCCTGGCTTTTTTTTTAAAAAATTAAAAAGATACACAAAAAAAAAATTATAAAAAAAATTTCTCAAAAATATTTTTATTCAAAAACAAATAATTAAGTAATTATTGATACATAACAATTAAAAAATTTGTTTAATTAAACAAGAATTGTAATTGTCTTGTTTGTTGTCCAAATCTGTTTATAACTTTTTCAATGAATTCTGAGTTATCTTTGATTCTTTTCTTATGCACACTGAGCATGCACAAACTACTCAATCTCTCGTGAGACATTGTGGACCGATTTAATGTTTTGATTCGTCGCATTGTACTAAAAGTGCGTTCAATAGTGCACGTAGTAGCTGGAAGAGTTGGGCCAATTTTGATTGCCTCCGCTACAGCTGGATGATAAAACGGTGTGGCCTGAATAACTAAATCGATGTATTCGAGGGATTCACAAGAATTTTCTCTATTAAAAGAGATGAAAAAAATTAACAGATGAAAGTATATATAATAAAAAAACAAAATGTAATAACAGAATATATATTTTTTTTTGGAGGGGGGTAGTTTGTTAGAGGGTTGCACCCCCTTTTACATTATTCTGCCGGCGCCCTTGGGTCCTAACATTGCATCGTTTTCCTGACCAAACTATTGGGACAATATTTCAGAGATAGCGGCTACCTATATATACTGGGGATCAAAAATCCGAATCCGCAGAAAAAAAGTTTCGAAGAGTAAGTGCGTTTTAATGTCTGATTTCGTAACTTAAAATATATTGTCTGCTATAATTAATTGGCATATTTGACATCACCCTCTTGAACCATTAAGATTAAGTCCTAGAACGTAAACATGTGATCATTAGATCAAGAGTTTTTTAGATTTTTTTTTGTTTACTGCTCACTGTACACTAAAATAATTTTTATTTTTTGAAATTTCGATTTTAAGGTCATTACTTCAACCTCCTTCGGGTTGCACTTAATTACTTTAAAGCATATTTAGTGGGATGCGTCTCAATTGCGATTAAAGGATTCAGTTTAACAAATAGCAATTATGTATCAGAAATTGAAAAAACGCTTTGGCAAAAAAAAAAAAAAAATACTCTGATAATTAACTCTCACATAAATAAAGTCCCGCAGTGGACTGATAGTGAAGACACGGTTCCCAGCAGATCACCGAAGTCAAGCATCACTGGCTGCGGTCAGTGAGCGGGTGGGTGACCACTTGGATCAGTCTGCGTAGGAACCGAGGGCGTGCGATATTGGTCCTCGTTAAACTGTGCTACCGTAAAGTGCTCGACTTCACGCGCAGGTCGTCGGGCTACCGAAGCGGGGGTGCCATCCCCTCCGCAGAGGATCAAAATTGTGATGGCATGTCTTCGGATCATCCTCAGGGATGTTTCCCAGACCGTCGCCAATAGCCCATTGTGCAGCTCTAGTGCGACGTAAATTAACAGCAACAACTCGCATAAATAAATTATTGAGTTTACCCAAGTCGAAAAATCAAGAGATACTTTTTCATTAAGAAAACTTTTTGATTCTTGTCAAACTGAAATAATGAATTTAGAATCTTTAGGAATTAATCAAGAAAATTATGAGGTTTTACCGTAGCAACGATGGTGAAAGGAAAGTCGAAAGTGGTCCTTAAAATTTTAAAAACGGAAGTGATCAGCCGAGAAAAGCCATGACCTTGAGTTCATCTGTGGATTGTTGACCGTGCAGCTACTAAACGCAGATGGCGCTAGGAGTTAAAATTCGTCGTAAGACTTCCGGGTTACTACTTCCAACTGACTTTTACGCCTAAAAAAGCTTGAAAATACGCATCATCCAACATCATTATGCTTGTAGTGTTTTCAATATAGTAATGCATTCTTTCAATTTAAACTTTGCTATTTTACACAAATATAGCCAAATAAGGGATAACATTCATGACGTTTGGAGTACAACTCAAGATTAACTGATCAGGAAAAAAAAGGATGAGACCATGTT